ATGTCAACCTAAATAAAATTTGATTAAAATTTTAAAATATTTTTTAAAATTAAATATAAATATATTAATAATATAAAATTTAAGATAATATGTGTCTATCTTTGAGCACATATGATTCCACCGCTAGGGGTGTGTAAATCCGGGTACTCAAAGTGTCGGGTATCCGGATATTTGGGTAATTAATTTTTTGGCCCGTGTCTCGACCCGAATGTTGCGGGTACCTGTAATCGGGTACTTGAATTTTACAGGTACCTGTATGTCGGGTATTCCAATACCTTTTTTTTATTTTTAAATTATTAATAAAAAACATACACAAATTTAGATGTATTTATATTATTTTTTTAATAATTAAATATATAATAAAATATTATTAATAATTAAATATATAATAATATATTATTAATAATTAAATATATAATAATATATTAATAATAATTAAATATATAATAATATAATAATAATTTATATATAAAAATCCCTAATCGAATACTAAAAAAAATTTAATTTTGTGAATCGGGGCCAACCCGGCCAGATAAATTTATTTAAAAAATTACCCGATTTTTTTATATTATGATCAACGGATCGATAGATCGGGTCAATCAGGTCGTATATTTTTTCACACCTTTATCCACCACTGGGTCCTACAATATAGCGGGTTGTGGCTCCTGAACCCAACAACACGTGCGCATCCCTCCAATTACCCACCATCCATCGCAGGCTCACGCTTCATTTTCACTTTCCTTCTTCCTCATTGGACTGCTTAAGAGTAGAATCTAAGTAGGTTTAGGCCAGATTTACGTTTAATTTTCATGTTATATTAATTTGGGTGAAGTACACTGGTCCTGTTCATTCAATTATAAAATATTATTTTATTAAATTTTTATTATTAAAAATTATAAAATATTTATATGATTATTTTAAGTTTTTTTAAAAATTATTTATTTATATATTTCAAATTTATCTTTTTTCTATTAAAAAATTACAATTATATAAGTTGAACGTTAATATACTGATTGGATATGATAAAATATGATCACATAATCTCGACGACTCTACAGCTTAAATGATCTTGGGATTATATTTTATCATATATTTTAATCAACAAATTAACATCCAACTTAGACGATCGTACATTTTTTAATATAAAAAGACAAGTTTATAACATATAAATAGTCGGATAATATTTTATAACTTTTAATAGTTACATAAATTTAATAGTTACAAAACTTAATAAAACAAAACCTTATAATTAAAATATTATTTTATAAATTTTAATAGTCAATAATCTTAATAAAATATCACCCTATAATCGATAGACCCTTTTATAGTTTACATTATTACTTCAATCCTTAAATCGTCTCTTATTCGTCCCTCAAACGGTTCAGTTGGGCAAGTGGTCCCATTGAAACAGTTTAAGATATCTCAAGGATAACAATTAATTTAAGATTAAAGAATGAAATAAAAAGAGTACGATTGAAAATGTTATATAAAGTATAGTATTTTTTATTATCATAATTTAAAATGTTAATGTTTTTTTATTAATATTTTTCGATTGTATATTTTTTTCGTAACATTTTTATTGATATATATATATAATAAGTTTTGATTAATTCCCTCAAAATAGATAAAGCTGGCACATATAATAATTGAGAGGAAATGCATGCAGTGGGCGTTTTTTTCCGAAAAATCATCGTTAAACAGTATATTTCCCGATCAGGCATCCGTCAAACTATATTTTTTGATCTAACATCCATTGCAGTATAACGCGTACGTGGCGTAAAGTGCCCCCTTGGGGCGCGCTATACTGCAATGGTAATAAATTCGGGTGTTAGTTTTTGTAAATATTTTTAAACTGGTGCCTAATATGTAATTAATTTCTGTTAAGATGATATTTGTGTAAAAATGCAAATTTCAAAACAAACCAATCTGCAACAAACAATTCTGCAAGGAATCTTTGATGCCCCACACGTTTTTACTGTCTTTCTTTTGTCTCTTTCGCTGCCAGATTTAAATTACATTTACTCTACTCTCACGGATTCAATTACAATGAATTACCCCACAATTTATTATTCGATTTTAATTATCCTTTTTGTTTAGCTTTAATTTTTTTTATTTAGAAATATATTAATATTATTACAGAAAAGTTAACTTGTTATTTCCACATAATAATTATAGAAAAGTTATAGAATTTAATTAAATAAAAATAATTAAATTTATATTTTATATATAATATATGAATTAATAACATAATTTGACAGCCTTAAAACGTTGCTATGATCCTTTGCATTATTTGGAGAATTCAGCTGAGTCCTTGCTTTTATTTATTTGTGGTTGGCACTGTCACTGCCAATACAGGGAGTCAGAGTTGCCTTGCAAGCTGTGCTTTTTAATTCAATGCTAATCACTTTAGTTTTGCCTTTTTTTGTTTAATTGACTGTTGCAAACAAATCAGACTTAAAAATTATTATTTCTTTATTTAAAATATTCTTTATAATATTAATTATAAAAAATATAAAATAAATAAAAATGCAATAAAAAAGAATTAAAAATGAATAATGTAAAGCTAAAAAATATCACCTCTTTATTTAAAATATTATTTATAATATTAATTTTAAAAAATATAAAATAAATATTAAATTTTAATTTTATTAAAAATGAATAAACATTATAAATATTATTAATACATATATTCTTTTGCATGAATGTTATAAAAAAGAGTTTATACGCGGGAGAAAATGATGAGACAAAACAGTTTTTGTGAAGATTGAGCAGAAAAGATCAACTCTTTGATCGAATGTTTATTCGTGGTACAATTGAGTTGATATTTAGACAACAGTTAGGCAATTTTGAGTTATTAACTTTGTATGATCGAATTTTCATTCGATCTCTATAGCTTTTCACACATACAACTGTTTAACAATCATAAACTTGACTTTAGGTCTTGAAAATACAATATTTTAAAATTAATTGTTTAAAAATATAAAAAATACTAAAATAAACTTTTAATTACACTTGAGAGATCAAATGAATTATTATTCATTAATTATTATTTTTTAATAACAGTTAATAATGTTTATTAATTTTTAATAAAATTAAATTTTAATATTTATTTATTTTTAAAAACGTGAATAATAATTTTTTTAATATTTTAAAAAAATTAATTTTAAAAGTTAATAAATATTATTAAATATTATTAAATATTAAAAAAATTATTATTGAAAGAAAGACAGTAAAAACGTGTGGGGGCCATCAAAGATTCCTTGCAGAATTGTTTGTCTAAAGTTGCATATTGGTTTGTTTTGAAGTTGTCATTTTTACACAAATATCACCTTAACAGAAATTAATTACATATTAGGCACCAGTTTAAAAATATTTACAAAACTAACACCCGGATTTATTACAAATCAGGTGATAAAGCGCGCCCATGCTGCAATAAGTGTTAGATCGAGAAATATAATCTGACGGGTGTCTGATCGGGAAATATACTGTTCAACGGTGATTTTTCGAGAAAAACGTCGCATGCAGTGGCCTGCCAAGGAAGACATGTAGAATGGCAATTGTAAGCCTTTTTGACCATCTTTCACTGCTGCGTGCCTAAATAATTTTAATGCTGCCAATAGACAATAAAGCTTTCGATGCCAAATGGAATCTCAATAATATACATATATCTGAATTTGTACTTGGATAAAATCTCAATCTCAATCACAGGAGAAGACCAGATATTATTCTGCATATACATTGACATATAAATGACAGAATAATAATGAAATTATTGGTGCAATATCATTATCAATTATCCTCGATCACAGCAAAAAACTAAATATAACGTTCATGCATTTATCTTGATTTGTTAAATGCATCATTTGTTCGAACTCGAATCATATTACACAAAAATTATGTATAATTTAGTATTATTTTCTTTAAATGCATCTGTCTGGATTCAAACTATTTCGTGATAACATATTTTCACAACATTCATGCATCCACCTTGATTTTCCTCCACGACTTTTGGAATATCATGCTGACTGGCATACACAAGAACACACGATTAATTTATAAAGAACATAGCAGCCCCATTTCTTTGATCTTGCTTCAAAATAAAGTTTGAAACTCAGATACATACGAATACAATAAAATATACTATGATCTTCAATATAAATATTCTCTCAGATCAGCTTCTCTCTGTCTATGAAAATAAACAATACTGTTCTCACATACACATGGCTAGTCCAGCTCATTTCACAGTCTGTCAAGCCTGAATTATTAGAACCATGATTATATATATATTTTTTCATAGTTAAAGTTCTCCTTGTAATTATTCCTCTAAGAGATGCTTGCAGATTGAGGAATATGTTCAAAAAGAACTAAAATCTGGCAACTCTCTTCTTGCAGGTATTATTACTTTCATGGAGGATTCTTTGTTCTTTGCTGGTGATTTATCTTGAAAGTTAACATCTTTTTAGTTTAATCATAATTTGCAGTAGGAATACTGTATCAGATCTTTGTGCTTTGTTCATAACATATTGACGTCAGTTCTAGCGATCCATTATTGGTCGGTTGATAGCCCACATCCCATTTCCTTTTTCATAAGCACTGTTCATTAACACTTTGTCTGAACAATTTTCATGGTACCGCCCACTCTTGTATCATAGCTGCAACTTTTTTCATGTGAGGAGCCTAAGCTTCCTAAATATGGCCTGCATTTTGGTACCCCAAAAAGGGAACCGATTAAAAGTTTGGGTCCATCATATACACTTTTAGGGTTATGTATACAAGGCCAGTCCCACTCCCTTTGTAGATTCAAGGATTTCATGTTTTGTTCCAACTGGCAAAGGTTGAAGATGAATCGTATGCTATAAATCAGATCTCTTGCATTAGTCTTTGGTGACTTTGGGGTCAACTAGTGTCTGTCTCCACCTAGAGGGGCGCTTCATAACTCACACACCTACCCCATTTAGCAAAAGTTGATGTGAGCAAAGGAAAAATGAAAATTTTTTCCTAGGAAAGTTGTTGTTTCTTGTGATAAGTTCGATGGTTGGATCATTTCGGGCATGTATGGGAGCCGGACTCGACAAGTTCAAGAACAACATGGAATCAATTCGAAACACAATGCTGATGCATGAAGATGTGTTCAAACACCAGGTATGATGAAATGAAAACGTTTTAGACTTTTGTTTTCTCTATTTTCTTCCATGAATCTCCGATAATGGGGATCGAACCGCAGGTACGAGAACTTCACCGTCTGTATAGTGTTCAAAAGATACTAATGGATGAGTTGAAGAAGGAAATCAAGAACGGGTTTTGGACTACCACTAGTGAGTTGAATTTATATGTTCAAGGTGATACAACAGAGCAAGAGGATTTGATCTAGAGGCCATCTGGGGAAGAAGCAGACACTGTTGTTGTTGCTGCTGAAGACCACCAAGCAGGGCCTAGCTCCAGAACTAACCAGGTGATGAGCATTGAGGGCTCTGATGAGGACAGTGAAGTTGAATTGACACTAAGTATTGGAATTGGAGGCAGCTGTTCAAGCAAGAAGAAGCTAAAGAACTCCAGTACTAGTTCTCAGTCTGTTCATAATAAGATCACTAGGGAGCTTGATTCATCGGCTTCGAGCAGCGGCCCCGGCACTCCGGTGAGCAGTTCTAGGACAACATTTGATCAGGAAAAGAAGCTGCCACATTGGCTTTTCCAAGGTTTTAGCATAAACAGGACTTAAAACCACTGAACTATATATATGAACTTACATTAGTTTGGATCTGCGTATCCTTTCAACTCCTTTTGGACATTTGATCATATTTACTTGGTTCATCACTTTAGATTACTAATTGTTTTAGTTTTTCTTAACCTAATAAAAGATAATTTGGGTGTACAATACATTGTTGTAAATAGGTCAGTGGCCAATAGGATTTCATGGAATTTGTCATTGGTTGGTTTACTGCTAGTGAATTCTTTAAGACCCAATCATGTATGAATCTTAATCCAATTTAAATCCGAATATATTCCAATCATTAGTTCAATTTGTATTGTAATGATTTATTCCGATTACAGTTATTCTTCACATATGATAATATATTTCAATCACTTGTCCACCATAAATATAATATAGATCAATCATTGTATAGAGAGGTGCACAAAAAATCTGAATTTACACCAAAAATATCCGAAATCGGATTTGGGAAAAACCGATTTTTTTTAAACCGGATCGGATATTTTAAAATCGGATAGTATAACCGGTTTGGGAAAAAATTGGACGACCGGATTTTTTACCGGATTAAAAACCGATTTGGAAAAAACCGGATAAAAAACCAGTTTTTTATCCGGAAAATAATCCGGTCTGGGGTTTAAAAAATTGGATGACCGGATTTTTTACCGGATTAAAAACCGGTTACATCATCCGGCCCTCCAAACCGGTTATGATCCGAACGGGTTTTTTTATAAACCGGTTTTTTGGCTTGATAAAAAAATCGGATCGAATTTAAATCCGGCTATGTGCATCTCTAATTGTATATATATATATATATATATATATATATATATATATATATATTATATTATAAGATCTAGACTATCCATATAGCAAGTATAGGGGTGGGAGTAGGCCAGGCCAGACCAGGCTTTAATAGGCCTGAGCCTGGCCTACGAAGAATTTTGTAGGTCTGAGCCTGACCTATAGTTTGTCAAAGGTTTTTTTTTCGGCTCGGCCTGATATTTTTAAAAGTCTGGCCTGATTAAAAGCATGTTCCACAATAAATATTTAATATTCATTTAATATTTATTTTTACCAAAAAAAAATAACACACCTTCTGCACATATATATTGGTATTATATTGGTACCAAAAAAATAATATAAGTATTATAAACACTAATTTTTATCCCACATACCTGTCTTAATTTTTAACTGCAACTGGAAGAGGCAAAAGTTTTCTCCAATTTCCATTACGCATATTATTTCACTTTTCCAATAAATCCAACTTGTTTGTGTCCAATTATAATATTAATATTTTGCAACTTGTGTGTCCAATTATAATGCAAAATCATAATCACAAGTTCACAATATGCATGAATATAATATCTTATTTGATAAAACTTGTGTGAGCCAAACAAAACGCCCATACTTTGTTGTTCCCCACGCAAACACCTTGCCCGACAGCAGCTCCCATATTTTGTTGTTCCCCACGCCACACCATGCCCAACAACAACGCCCATCCCCTGCCCATGTTTGGCATCAACGCATGAGAAATCAATAAAATTTAGTAGCATATATATATCTAAACAGGACGGCCTATCAGGCTTATAAGGCTTAATAATAAGTCTGAGTCTGGCCTATTTAAGTTAACAGGCTTTTAAAAAAACTAGAGTCTGACTTTTTTATTAAATAGGTCAGGCCATGCTTTATGTAGGCCAGGCCGTAGGCTGGCCTGGCCTATTCCCACCCCTAAGCACGTACACACATATGTAAAAAAAAAAAATTGTCTATGTCTTATAAGTATGATCAAGCATATGGGTAGAAAAATGGAAGGACCATATTGAAACAATATTAATAGTTAAAAGATTAAATCAGAATTTTTTGAAATTTAAGGATAATTTTCTAAATCTGAGCATAGTTTGGGACGTGTGGTGTAATTAGCTCGAAAAGAATATTAAAAAAGGGTCTCGTTTACGAAGACCAGGAGAAAACTGTCATTGTCTCACGGTGGTCTCCGTTGGAGTGTTGCTTCTCCTCTAATGGCGACCTTGAGAAAGCCATTACTCTTCTTCTTACTACTTTTACCCCTAATTTCCACCCAAATTACATCTCAACCATCACCGGAAACCGTCGAAGCTTACCTATCGGGTCCCGGTGATGCTGCTCTCAAGCATGAACTCGACTTCCTTAAGTCCAAGATTTTGGTCTTAGGTATATCGACATATTTTACGCGCACAGGCACCCAAAAATAATCAATGTTTTCTATTTTTTAACACCGTGATTAATGTTTGATTGGGTTTATTCTGATTCATGTTTTTTTTTACACATAACAAATTTTTTTTTAGTTTTGTTTTCAGTATTTTCTTTGTCTGGTTTGTGGGTATGGAAAACGAGAATATTGTAGGAGAAGCATGTAAGATTATTGGGAAATGGAAAATCTTCTATTCGTGAATTTCTATATAATTTTCAATTATTAAAATTTGAATACCAGGTATGCCATTCATGCTGGTAAGGATGAGTTTGCTTTCGCACAAATGTACCAGAATTCGCTATATCCAGCGATTTTTGAATTGCTACATATGTTCCAACTTCGGGAACACTAGAATTATATGTTTACATGAACAAAAAAAATTATATATATTTAAGTTCCAATAAATTGTATTTCATTCATGTACTAAATGAACTGCCTATCGAATTACACTTTATAGAAGTAGCAGATTGCACTCCGGTTTTCGTTCTTCATACAGGATGATCTGTGTTTTAGGTAACATAGTTTTAACATGAATATTCTTGTAAATTTGTAGTTTTAGAGAAAATATAATGATAATACGATGGAATGGCTTTTCTCCATTAACTATGTTCTAGGAACATTTGAACCTTATTGTGGCTGTACCTTTATGGACTATGTTGCAAAGGTTTTTTCTTTAATTTATTTAATTTTAAGTTTGTGCTTAGATGTTCATGTATAGATAAGAAATTTCAGCCCTTTAAGTCAGGTACTGTTTTCATAGGTACATTTTCTGCAAATTATTAACACTTTGGATGCATGCAATTCCCTTTGCTTTTGTGGTATACTAGGTTACCCTATTTTATTTAGTAATTTTTCTTTAAACCAAAGTTTACCGGGATTGATTCTAACATGTCAGATAAGATTATCAATATACATCAGTAACTTAGTTCAAACTTATATATACATATAAATAACTTGCATTCATTTTTCATGGTTTTCCTAGAATCAACTATTGATGGAAGAATCCATGAACTGAGAAACAAGGATGAGAGTATTAGGGAATTGGAAATGACAATTCAAGAGAAATCAGACAGCTTGCAATCTTTAGAGGATGAGATAGAATATTTACAGGTAAAATCCCCAGCCCCCCTCTTTTTTTCTCTTTCTCTTTTTCCTGTTTCTTGGTTCTGAGAAATGTTTTAGTCATTTCTTTTTCTAGGTTGGTTTGTTGACTGATATATACTGATGTTCTCTTCTGATATATTTTCAGTTTAAAGATAAAACCATGTGTAATTCCTTGACAAGAAACTTTTTCTGTTATAATTTTTTTTATCAGCGAAAAGCGTCACTAGATTCTATGGAGCAGACGAGTACCTCACCTGCAAGGGCTATTGAACTTGAAAAGCTGGTTAGTCGGTCATGGATTAACTTTTGTAGTTACACTTTGGAGCTACCGTATTCATTAAGAGATAGTTTTTCTAACAGGTTGACGACCTTAGGAAGGAAATCAAAGTGCAAAATAAGAAAAAAGATGCACTAGATGCTCGAATAAATGTAGCTGAGCATAAGATCCAAGAACTAAATCAGAAATTAGAAGATGTGAGTCATGCATTTTTATAATTGCCTTTAAGTTCCTTACCTTTGCTGGTATTTTATTGTTGCACATAATTCTTGCTGATCTGTGATCCTTTTTGTTCTAAAAAGCATATCTTTTCTCGCTTTATTCTGATTGGAAAAGTTCTCCTACTAAAAGCTACACAATTATTTTTTTGAAAATCCTAAAGGGCACATAAGATATAACAAGATGGGAACTTTTATTCTGTATTCCAGTACATGGTCAATTTTCAGTTAAAAGGTTGCTAGTTTAAAACATACTGTGAGAAAAGCAAAAGATTTGAATGTCTTCTTATTTTTTATTCTGTCATTGTCCCATTAGAATCAGTTGGCATACATACAGCTGGAACTTAGCCATCATAGGTGTATCTGATGCTCATACTATCTTTTAGACACTACAAAATTTTATTTTAGCAGTGAGCTTCAAGTGTAGAGGTGAAGGGTTTATAAATCTTGACAAAGACTGTCTTTTCCATTTTCCTAATTCCATCTTCTAAACATCCTTGTGTTCCATCTTTATTGACTAGTTTCTACTTTTGTTTTTTCTTGCTTGTCCTAAAATACAATTTCACCTTGAAGAATCGATTGCTAATTACTATAGTTTCCATCTGTTTGCGTGAAGAAGACATGAACTACTAGAATTTTTCATGTATCTCTTCAATTCCTGTCGTGCAATAAATGCGATTTTCCGTAAAATTTGTGTCCACAAAGTCTACTACAAAGGTGGGATTTCTTATGTTGCCTTAACCACCTAGTTTCGTAGCATTCTTATTGCATTATTTTCCTATGAAATATACAAAATAAGATTCTTCATTTCATACATTGGAAGTTTTTCTCTGGTTTACCCAATTCTTTTGTAACATAAAATTCTTCATATCTTTCTGTTTGTTCTTCCTTATCAGATCCAAAGGATTAACAGTGAGCAAAAATCTATAATTCATAAGGCTGAAAGTGCACTTCAACTAGCACAGGTGTAAAGCACTTACTCGTGATTTGTATAGGTCCTATCTTGTAGAGAACAGAGCTAACATTGGTGTACATGCAGGAAGAAATTATGAAAGCAAAATTAAGGGCGGCTTCAGCTTCTAATGAACTAAGAGAAGTAAGAAATGACAACTTCAAAGGCATGAAAGTTTAGCCAGCTCTATGAGCAGCATACTGTCTATTTTTCTAAGTGGTCCAGTATTTTATTTAGTCTCAAACTTTCAGAGTAACTGAATAAATCTACTTTAAAACTTGACCGGTATTTAAAAACTGTTATTTATAAAATCAGGAATTTCTTGACCTCTCTTTGAAAAGAATCTGTTCAAAATTGCAGATAGATCTGCAGACCTCTCTGTGTTAAATACAGAACATTTTTTAGAATTAAAATGCAAATTATATTGTTTTTTTCTTCTAAGTGAATTTTTTGTAAGATTTCATTACCTGTAAAATTGACTTGCCTTGATGAAATATACTGTCTTTATCATGAGTGTAAAATGTTTAAGACAGGATGCCAGCTAATATATTATAATGAGTTTGTGTAGAAGAATGTTCATATTATTAACCAATTCGGTAAAGCCAAAGTTTTTGGTTGGGTTGGTATGACTGTCATACTTTTTGCAGCAAGTTTATTCCACAAACTTAGAGATGAACTGTTCTATACCTTGTTTGTTGATCTATCAAATAAGATTCTTTTTACTTATTGATCTAGTCAGTTTCAGCTAGATCTAGAGTGTCAGTTTGGATGTGATCCTAAATTCAGCATAGTAAAAAATGTGACAAATTTGGTACCTTTTACAAATGATATATCTACAACAGTTAAAACTTTGTGAATTGAGTTGAAAACATTTAGTGTCCACCATCTGAAAGGTTAGTGTCCACCATCTGAAAGGTTAGTGTCCACCATCTGAAAGGGCAGACTGTGCAACCTCCATTTTATGTTAATTTTGGTACTGAATATTGCTTGATCTGTATGTATCTCCTGCATTATTTTGAACCTCACTTAATTTTAGACCTAAGTTTACCATTGTTAGAGATGTCAGTAATCTCCACCTCTGAATTTTCCCCTACCTGACTCTAACCTTCATAGGAATGCTTAGTATCTTGCCCACCCTTAATCCTAATCTTATTTGCGAAAGAAAATATCGATGTCTATCCTGAACCAAAAGTGCTAGATTTAAGAAAAGGAAATTTAGGAGACAGTTCTCTGAAATTTCAGCATCTTGTTGCTATAACACGATCACTTCACCTGCTATCAATTTTTTGGGCACTTGTGTTACATTCATAGCCCATAGGCATATCTATAATATAATATCATAATCCCAGTTCAACATAATTGCAATGGGTAATAAGAATGGTTTAATCTTAGGTTTTCAAATTGCTGGAGAGATAAATTTTGGCTAAAATGTTGGTGTGAAAACTCTGGAAGTGAAATTGAAACAGAAGAGAACAGAATTGTTAAAAAAAAATAGTAACTATTTGTGCCTTCTGTACTATAACTTTTAGTGAGCCAAAACTAGTTTAGAGTCTATCTGTCTTGGTTAAGTTAAGTTGACTTTTTTATTTTTATTTCTCCATCATTAAAGATTCCATTTCGGTGATTTTAGTTCTATTCTTGTATTCATCTGTGCTGAAGAAACTTTGACTTTATTGATTGTAATCTGCAATCAGGTCCATGGGAAGTGGCTTCCACATTGGTTAGCTGTTCATATATATCAATTGCAGGTATATTGTTTTAGTTAGTGGCAATATTTGTATCTAACATATTTTAATGATTGGTTGTTTATTGCATGCAGTCCTGTGTTGCGTCTCATTGGAATGAACATGGGAAACCTTCTTTAGACATCACAATAAAAAAGGTCTAGTTTTTTTTCCTCCCAATATCTAAAATCATAAAGCTGTATCGTATGCTACATGCTAATTTGTGCAATTAAATATGCCCTTTGCAAGATATAATTTTATTTATCTGATGACCATTCTATTGCTCCAATCAACCAATTCAGAATGCCAATTTTTTGTCCCTAAAATTATGGTTCAGGCCTTGGAAAAGAAAGATCAACTTAAAAGTTGGGCAGAAGCACAGATTAGAACTGTTAATACGGTAAGTATGAACTATATAGTAAGTATAGTTTTTCATAATTTCCAAAGATGTGTTTGTACCAGAAATTTCAAACATGGCATTACATTTTCAAGTGCCTTTGAAGTAGCAGTAGTGAGATTATCATTGGCTGCTGAATTTAGTCTGATATCTTAAATGCTTCAATTAATTTACATTGTAAATTAACTTGGTTCGAGATTTGAGCTTATACAGCCACTTCCTTTCATTATGCCATGTTGAATGATATTTTGCAACCAGATTATGCTCTTCTTTTTATTGCCTTGTAGTGTAAATTTATACTGACACCTTGGTTTTAAAAGGCACGCCTTGGGCGCGCCGACGCGCTAGGCGCAGCCATGCACTGAAGATGGCGACCGCCTGGGATGAGGCGAGGCGAGATACAAGAGGCGTGCACCTCTGGGCTTTTGGCGCCAGGTGCAGCGCCTTTACGCCTTTCGAATTTTTTTAAAGATATTAATAGGAAGTAGAACAAATTAAAGAAGAAGAAGAAAAAAAAGAATTGCAATAGTAAGAAAGGAAGAAGATGGCTGAAGAAGACTAGAAAACTCTTTTTTTTATCACATTTTCTCATTTCTTAACCCAAATATTTGACCTATTAACAAGCCCAACCCTATAGCCCAAATTTATAGTCCAACTCTAATGTTTATTTATTTATAGCAAACCATTATAACTTCTTACACCCTTTGTCTGCTTTTAACTCAAAGTATATGTTTTTTTAAAGAAATTTAGTTATTTAATAATACATAATTAATTTTAATTTTTAAAATAATACAATATTAATTACTTAATTTTATTAAATATAAAAATTATTTTTTTATAATAATTACAAATTTTAAATTGATAATAAAATAAATTTGTATAATTTAAAAAATAAATAAAATAATATTTTAAATATTAAAAATATTAAGTATAAATCAAAACAGTGTAGATTTTGGTGAAAGGGGATTAAAATATGTTTATAAAAATAAATAAAATAATAGTTTTAAATATTAAAAACTTTAAGTATAAGTAATACATTATAAACAAGTATTTTAGGAGTTAATCGGTGGGTAATGAGTATAAGTATACTCATACAATTAATTTATAAACTTTTTAGTATAGATATGTTTATAATATTGTTTTAAGTTAAAATATGTTCCATAACTTTTTTTTGATAGAAAATGTAAGTAGGTCTCTTTAAAAAACCCCTTCATAACCTTCATGTTACAGCAGTAACATGAAGGACATTGGAAGGAGGAAAAGAGTGCTCTGAATTTTATTAACAGAACAATATTACAAAGCATGATCCTAACAACCTTCTCTTACAACAAATAACTGAAAACAAAACACCTGCACTGATACAAACAACTCACACAACACTACTACCCAGACACAACCAAGTAATCAACCTATTCCATCTTTAGCTAACTTATCCGCCTCCCAATTGGCAGCTCGCAGAATATGCCTAATATAATATCCTGACCTTCCACAACAAAAGCAATATCTTTCATCAAAGACTCAACATCGGGTACAATGACCCGGGTTCTTGATCCACTTCAAAGCAGTAAGAGAATCCGATTCGAGAATAATCCTTCGAAATGAAACAAGTCCTATTTCCTCAATAAGAGCAATCCTCTTTTAATAGCTAATAACTCTGCAAGGATAGGAGGACCGCAACCAACCCTCTCAGAAAATGAACCAAGCAGCATACCATCACTGTCCCTGATCAATCCACCTATTCCTCCTTTATCCCATCCCTTTACTACCGCACCATCTACATTTAGTCTTACAAACCCTGGAGGAGGAGGAACCCACCAAGACGAAGAAGATCGCGCCTTCTTTTGTCTTCCCACTAGATCTGCTAGTTTTGAATCACCCACGAGGGAATCAAAAGGAATATTCACATCTTTAAATCTAGCCACAAACCAAGAAGCAATTCTAAATCGAACAAGGAAGAACAACAACGTACCATCCACCTTCCCATTCTAAAAAATTATCTCATTTCTGCACTTCCAAACCGACCACAAAACCGCCCTTGGAATGAATTTTCAAATAGTGGAGCTCGGAACAAGATCATCCCATATCGAGATGAAAGCAATCAAATTCTCTGGTACAACAAATGAAACATTCCAAGAAATCAAGAATCTAGACCAAAGATCCCATACCACCTCACAGTGCAAAAAAAAGATGAGAATACGACTCCACAAACTTACCACACATCGGACAAAGGGGATCATCAATTCTTGCCACTCCTCGCTTCAACAATTCCTCCTTAACAACCACTCTCTGATGGGCAACCTGCCAAACAAATGTTTCCACACGGGCGAGGCTACCCTACCCATACATGTCTTTCCCAATTACTATCAGTTACCTCAGTGTTAACCGTATCGAAAAATTTCTTGATGCATGATTTAGCTGAAAAACAACCCTCCTATTCCCTGTTCACACCCAGTCTTCCTCCGAAGTTGACAAAGAGGTACTATTCAACAGAGAAATAAGCTGTAGCCATTGTTTAACCTCCCAATCCACCAAATTCTTTCTCATTTGAATATCCCACAACCAGCCTGAAGAAGATTCACCCTGAACTCTGCAACTTTACCCCTTTATTGATCGAGAGAGCGAATAGCCTCGAGAATCGATCTTTTAGAGGAATCAAACCCAACCATAAATTATGCCAAAACTGCACTGACTCTCCATTTCCAATTCTCAGACACATATTATTCCTGAGACAATCCCCAAATTCATCACTAGAAAAGAAGTTCTTAACAACTCCTCTCCAAATCCACGAAGCATGGGTTAGCCAAGAATTACCAATCATACATGAGTTCAAATCCAGGTTGTACACGCATCACACAACCCTTTTCCACCAAGAGCCCTTTTCTGAAGCAAATTTCCATACCCATTTCCCCAGAAGAGCCCTATTCAAAAGGACCAAATTTGGAATACCTAAACCCCCAAACTCGTAGGCTTACAGACCAAATTCCAATTCACCCAATGAATATTCTTTTTTTCTGTCGAACCTCCCCAAAGAAAGGCTGCCATAATGGAGTTTAATTTCTTCAACACACCAACTGGAATCCGAAAAATAGAAAGGAAGTAAATGGGGAGAGAACACAACACTGATTTCACCAAAACCGCCCTTCCAGCTAAAGATAGAGACGTAGCCTTCCATCCAACCAACTTGTTATAAAATCTTTGAACAACCGGCTCCCACAAGGCTATCGAATTCCTCTTGTTCCCGAATGGTAAACCTAGATATTCAGACGGAAAGGATCCCACTGAACAACCTATATCCTTAGCCCAACAAGCTAGCACCTCCGCCTCAACATTAATGCCCAAGATTCTGCCCTTTGCTAAATTTAACTGCATTCCCACCAACATTTCAAAAATTCGAATAGAGGCCTTACTAAAAATTATGAGATCGTCCGCAAATTGCAAGTGCGACAACATGAAGGAATACTCTTGGTTACCTTACTCAAAGCCCGAAAGCAGTCCCTTGTCCACTGCTTTGACCAGCAGCAAATGTAACAGCTCACCAACCAAATTTAAAAGCAAAGGAGATAACGAACATCTCTGGCGTAATCCTCTAGCAATATGAATTTTCTCCGAAGGTGTCCCATTCACTAATACCGAAATGGAAGCTGTTGACATGCATTTAAAATCCAAGAACATTTTCACCAAACCTCATCTTCCCCATTATTTTCAGCAAAATCGACCAATCAACCGAATCATAAGCTCTTTTAAAGTCCACCTTAAACACTACCCTTCAACCCTTTTTTCCTCCAGAAATCAATACCTTCATTTGCAATAAACGAACAATCCGTTATCTGTCTCCCCGGTATAAACGCAAATTGTGAAGGACTTATTATCTCATTAATGCACAAACTCAACCTTCTAGCTAGGACCTTTGAAAGAATTTGTTTAACCCTCCAACGAGACTAATAGGCCTAAATCTTCTAGCCCCTCCGGATTAACCCTCTTAGGGATAAGGGAAATAAAGAATGGTTGACCTCCATGTCCCATTCCTTCCTTCATAAACTCCTTAAAGAACACCACCATATCTTCTTTCATGTTTACCCAAAATTTCTTAAAGAACCCTAGATTCAAGCCATCGGGACTAGGTGTTTTGTTACTGTCCGAATGTGCAATTGCTTCCCATATTTCCTGCATCTGACTTCATTCGTATTAAGCTTGTCAAGGTAAGACAACCAAATAAAAACACTGATTCTTTCAGTGGTTTTAGTTCTCCATACCCACATTAGATTGTCCCCAGTATGACCACCGACATCCATGTTAGACATGGTTTGATAGGCTAAAGTAACCGTAAATTGCCCATCCTTTGAGAAGCCCCAAGTGTTAATATCATGTTCGTTAGGATCAGTTAATTGCGGGATCGGAACTTTTTGAATTTCCAGTTTTGTTTCCTCTGCGATCATGTGCTGTATTCCTCGGATATTCCAAGATCTATCATCGTCAATGTATCTGGCCACCTCTTCAATTCTCGGGTGGTCCATTAGGGGATATAAGTTTTTCAACGGTTCTTTACCTACCCACCAGTCTTGCCAGAACTTAGCTTGAACACCTGACTTAATCTGCCATTTACGCCATGCTTTAATAAATTGCGAGTTCGTAGCAGTCCCCTCCATGTTGAAGAGCTATTTCCTCTTGAATCTGCCTCCAAAATCTTTATTCTTTAGATATTTTCCTTCAAACACTTTGCACCAGTGATTCTCTTGTCTGGTGAGAAGTTTCCAGCTGTTTTTTGCCATGAGAGCGATGTTCATTAATCTTGCTTTACGGATGCCTAACCCTCCCGTCTTTTTGGATTGACACACTTTATCCCAGCTGACCAGATGATTGTGAGCATTCGCTATATCTCCTCCCCACAAAAAATTACAATTGATTCTGTCCAGCTTTCTACAGACCGAAACAGGAAGTACGGAAGTTGCATCGTGTGTATTGGAATGGCATTTGTAACGCTTTGAATGAGCGTTTTCCTACCCCCATGGATAGGACTCTTCCTTTCCATGCCAATCTTTTCATTACTTTTTCAATGAGAGGATCATAGGTTCCTACATTAACTCTTTTATGGATTATAGGGACTCCCAAGTAAGTTCCCAGATTATCCGTAAGGGGGATGCCACACAATTCACTTATGTGTTGAGCTGTGGAAGAGTTAATATTTGGGGAAATAAACAGTTTTGATTTAAGGAGATTTACCTCGACTCCAGCTGCTCGGCTAAATTCCTCTAGGCAGCCTTTCATGTATTGCATTTGATCGGAATTCGCTTCTACAAACAGTAGGAGATCGTCCGCAAAAAATAAATGGCTTAATTTAATTCCACCCCTCGAGCTATTGAACGGTTTTCCATATACCCCTATCCACTTTATCCAAGATGATGTGAGAGAGTCTTTCCATAACCATATGACAAGTAAGGCGATAACGGATCACCTTGGCGTTAGACCTTGCTCAGGACTGAAGCTCTCGGTGATTTCCCCATTCCATAACGGTTCAATAGTAGTGGAAGTAATGCAAAACATTATTACCTCTATCAATCTTCCAGGAAAATTGAAGTCTTGGAGAGTTTTCTTGAGAAATTCCCAACTGACATTGTCATAGGCTTTTGTAGATCAATTTTGGCGATCACTGCACCCTTCCTTCCTTTAAGGTCATCATGGAATGTACTGCCTCCTGAACTATCATATATTATCAGATGTGCTTCTACCTTTTAGGAAACTGTTTTGGTAAGGACCGATCATTCTTTGTAACATAGGACACAAGCGACGAACGATAATTTTTGAGAAGATCTGTAAGACGTATTCAACAGGCTAATTGGCCGAAATTGAGTAAGTTGTCAGCTGCAGTGATTTTCGGAATTAGCACCAGGAAGGTTCTTAAGATTTTTGTCTCCATTTTTCCCAAATTCAAGGTTCTATTCACGAACTCTCGTGTGTCTTTAACAGTGTCCCAGTTTCGTTTTATAGAAAATGGGTTGAATGCCATCCGGACCCGGAGCTTTCAAACCCTTCATGGAGAACAATGCTACTTTTACTTCCTCCATAGTGGCTTGATTCATTAGCTCGGTTCTTTCTTCTTCGTTTAATCTAGGCATGAAACGATCGTAATCCCTTGACAACTGGACGTGCACTTTCGCAGTGAACAACCCCTTGTAAAAGTTACAGACATGATGACAAAGGGTATGTTTATCTGTGATCCATTCATTCCCAATGTACAGCCCGACAATTTTATTAAATTTGCGCCTTACCATGGTCGTGATATGAAAAAACTTCGTGTTCCTTTCTCTTTTCAAAATCCAATTCTTGAAGATGTATCGAATGAAAGTAATTTATAGATCTTTGGATTCCTTTGATTCGTTTCAGCAGGGTCTTCTTACGTTTGAAAATGTTCCCGAAAGTACTCTCCTTCCAATCTATGATCGCTTGTTTGGTCTCTTCCACTGCCTCCACAAGAGAGTATTCTTTTTGTCCCATGCTGTGAATATTTTGTTGAAATCCTCGTGTGTAAGCCAAGCTGCTTCAAATCTAAAAGGTCGTTTCTCTTTTTCTCCAGGAATATCCCATTCGTGTTAATCAGAATTGGATTATGGTCAGAGTACACTCTTGTTAATGTAGCCACTCGAAGGTTCGGAAAGTACTCGACCATCTCCATTATGAAGTAACCTATCGAGTCTTCCTGAAGAGTGACTCTTCCATGGAGGTGTCTAGTCCAAGTAAACTTATTACCAACATATCCAGCATCCATCGGGTTGCATCTATTCCAGTGATCGCGAAACTTGACGATGCGACTCATGCAATTGGAGTTACTGCCTAAACGTTCTTCCAATGTAGCAAAGTCATTGAAGTCACCCACTATCATCCAAGGCTGATTAATAGTTGTAGAGTAATTGTAGATATTCTCCCAGGCTTCTTCTTTTTAAGCGAATGAGGTTGGATATAGACAGTTGAAAGCAGCCATCTTTTTCGTTCTATAATTTCACAGTGGATAACCTGGTCTGTGTGTTGCCGAATGGTCACCTCATGCGAATTAGAATTCCAAAGAAGAATTAAACCTCCCCGGAGACCTTGAGGAGACCTCAAAATGATTATCGAACTTCAATTTTTTCTGGAGCAAAGGACCAATACATGTCTTTGCTTTTGTTTCGAGAAGAAAAATAATGGTTGGATTCTCCTCCCGAATCAACTCTCTACAGTTCCTGATGAAATTTTGATTACCTACTCCACGACAATTCCAAGACATCAACTTCATTGGGTGGAATTAATATTCGTGCAAGCCTCAAAGGCCATCATCTCCTTAGTGTAATCAACATGTTCCAGTTCAATTGGTTCAGTTTCCATCTCCCGAACAGCCTGGAATTCAGCTATACTAGTAGCATTTTCAATCTCCATAGATGGGTTTTCGTGATATTCCATTCTCTTTCTCACCTCTAATTCTGGTTCCATGCCAACTCTTTGATTGTTTCCACCAGTATATTTGTTGCCTTTTATTCCACCCTGTTCGTCTCTCATCGCAAGGAATATTGGAGGCCGCAAAGACTCGTCTGTTTTCCTATGAAACTCACCTCCTGAGCTTTCTGTCAAGTTACGAGTTTAGCTCTGCTGCTACCATCTTCACTTCTGGTCGATCTCATGTCTTTTGCAGACCTACCAGTCGTATTAATGTTCTTGTACACCTCTTGGTTCGGGCTGTGATCCTCCTTTTCCTTACTCATCTCATTTCCATCAATATTATTCAAACCATCAAATCTATTATGCTGTCGTGATTCATGAATTCTACTACTTTTATTCTTCTGGTTATTCCTCGTTCCTCGTAATCTCCGTTGAACCAACATCCAAGGTCCGTATCTTTCCTTCTCCAGTTCTTTCCCTTCATGTTGAAATTTCTCCTGTTCATCCTCCTGTCTTTCTTGGTGTTCTTGAGCTTGTGGTTCTATGTTCACCTCTCTGCTTATAGGGGTCACTTTCTGATTGGCCAAGCAGTCTGTGACTCTGTGACCCACCATGCCACAATTGAAACAGATCGAGTGCAGCCCCTCATATTCAATATTGTAGACTCTTTTCCCTATACGAACCTTAGACAACAGAGGAGAGCCTAGATCAATTTCCACGCATATTCTGGCAAATCGCCCTCTTATTGACCAAGCTGTGTGATAGTCAATCTTGATAGGTTTTCCAACAAGTTTTCCTATGTTGCACAAGACCTTTCCTCAAAATACTCGATAGGGAGCCCTGGAATGTGGATCCAAACTGCCGTGGAAGGAATACTTGCGCTTGCTGCCACGAAATTGGGACGCCATCTCTGCACCGTAATATAATGGTCCATGATCTTCCAAGGGCCTTCCATGAGAACCTTAGCTCTATCCAACATATTCTGAAATTTAATTGCATAAAATCCATACCCAAGATCGATACATTCAAACTCACCTTCTAGTTTCCACAGATTTGTTATTCTACTGATTAGGGTTTTGTAGACCACCGTTTTACCCAATACCTTGATAATAATCGCCTTTCTCCATGGTTTCCTCAACTTTCCTTTCAATTCCTGAGGAATCTCGATTGTCGGGATGTCGTCCCCTTCAGAAGTTTCTTCTTCGTCTGAATCTACATCTTCAACTTCAGTCGAGAATTGAAAACTTTCGGGAAGAAGGGTCGGGCTTATCACTGCATCTTTCCATGATCTTTTTGGCATCTCCTCTTCGAAAGCGTCACCACCTTCCGTTGGTCGGAATCTCTTGTTTATTCTTTCTACATTACCTTCCCCTTCCACCGCCTGGGTCACCTTGGTGGCCGGCGGAGCCGCTTCTTGCATGAAAGTAACCTTCAGTTGGTCAGTAAACGGGACGGATAGTTGCCGGGCGGCGTTCTTTGTATGTAAATCTCTTGTCATTAACAGTTAACCAAATCAATACCTTCATTTGCAATAAACGAACAATCCGTTATCTGTCTCCCCGGTATAAACGCAAATTGTGAAGGACTTATTATCTCATTAATGCACAAACTCAACCTTCTAGCTAGGACCTTTGAAAGAATTTTGGTTAACCCTCCAACGAGACTAATAGGCCTAAAATCTTCTAGCCCCTCCGGATTAACCCTCTTAGGGATAAGGGAAATAAAAGAATGGTTGACCTCCATATCCCATTTCTTCCCTTCATAAAACTCCTTAAAGAACACCACCATATCTTCTTTCATGTTTACCCAAAATTTCTTAAAGAACCCTAGATTCAAGCCATCGGGACTAGGTGTTTTGTTACTGTCCGAATGTGCAATTGCTTCCCATATTTTCCTCTTCCGAGAATGGCTTCTCAAGAGCCATGCTTTGCACTTTTGAAATTTTTAGAAACTCCAAATATGTTCCATAACTAATTTATAGGTTTTTAAGTATAAAAGTGTGCCTCGCCTATGAAAGGCGCGCGCCTGCGTCTTGTGCCTTGTTTAGGCTCCAGGGACCTTTTGCACCTAGGTGCGCCTTGCGCCTTTTAAAACCAAGACTGACACTAGCGTCAAATGTCACTGCTTTTCTGTTTTTCCTAACAGGGTTATGTGCAAAAGTAGAATTTGTATAACAATGCTTCCTGCTTGAAGAATTGCTTCATTGTGTAGTTATTATGAATTAAGGCCACTAAAAGTAAAAGGAAAGAAATTCCCTATTCGTTTTGTTTATTTATTAACCATAGATATTGCATCTCCTTGTCTCTTCATCTTTTATCAGATGAGGAATACCTTCTTCTCTATGTTTAGCTGCACCTTTAAAGTATATGTCATGCAGTAGACATCTCAGACTTGATCAATATGTAGGATCTCATTTAGTCACATGCTTAAAAATGATAGTTAAGATACCCTTGACGTGTGACGATGTTTGAAGCATTATTCTATTTGCTTTGGATCAGTGTGTTCAATTATTAACTGATCACAAGTTTTATCATGTGAAGCATTTGATCCCAATGATGAAAGACGAGTGGTCAAAATTTGTAAACAACCGTGAACCTCATCTTCAGTTTCTTCTTTCTAAAACAATTGATGTCTATGATGCATCCAAGACCTTTTTGATGCCGCATTTGGTCAAAGCACGCACATTAAAAGATCATTACATTCAGGTAAATCAGCATCAAGGTCATACTTATTTTGCAAATTTCCTACTCCATGACCATAAATGGAAATTACAATGTTTTGATAGGAGGTGAAGAAGTTTTCTGAGCCATACGTCAATCATGTTGTGATGGTGACAAAACCTCATTATGAAACAATGCAAGTTGCTTTGAAGCCCTACACTAAAAAGACCATCCGCACCTACAGGAGACTGATAAAATCTGCTAGCATATATACCATCATCAGGTAACATTTCTCCTATTGTTTTCTGTGTTGACATGCACAATTTTTACCCCACGGGGATCACAAGTCTTAAGATTTTATTTCTGCAACGTTGTTGGTAATACTTTTGTACCACAGCCTCTTCATAGTTTGATGGGTGTTTTCCAGTATCAGATCTATATGGATGCACTAAAATATAACATGCATTTTGTGCAATAAACTTAGGGGCTGTTTGTTTACTTCAGAATGATTAAGCGTTGAATGATTCAAATGCTAAATGATTTAGAGGCTCTGAATGGTTTGACTCTGAATGTGACATACTGTTTGATAATTAGCTTTGAATGATTCAGAATGTACTTCTGTGCTGAATAATTCAGCACTGTTTTGCTGAATTAGTCAGCACAGAATCATTCAGAGGTGCGAAACAAACGCGCTGAATGCTGAACGGTTCAGCATTCAGCGCTGAATGGTTACATTAAGAGGCAAACAAACAGCCCCTTAGAATGTATAGTTTTGTTAATTAACATCATTGAGTTGCTCCATTGCTTTGCCTTATGCGTTGTAACAGTTGAGCATTATTATATCACAGAAGTCGTCATTGTGCCTAGATCAATGTTTCCTGACTTCTTCAGAAAAAAATACTTGTCATGTAGTATAATCTTGTTAAGAGAGCCGTTACTGTCCTTATCTGACATTCTAACTATTAAAAGACAACAAATAAGAGAAACTAAAGAATAACAAAAGAGAAGGGCAAGCTAAACAAAAAAGCATGATCAGAGGCATCACAGTCCAAGAAATACAAGGTGATGTGGGCACTTAGCAACTTACACCCACATATACAGTTGTTGAATATGAAGAAAAGTTATACTGGAAATTTATGTACTATTTTAGTGAGTTTATTATTCGGTTCTCTGAATATCTAGGTTCTGCTTATTAAGTGGTAAAATTTTGTTTTTGTGGTGTACAATCTATTGTCTTCGTTTTTGCATGGTTTGAAATGTTACTTATGAAAAATACTATATAATTTTGGGGCATTTAGATTTCTATGATTCTGTTTTAAAAGTATCATTAATGGTGTATCATAGAAGTAAATCTTGATCATGAAGGAAAATATAAAATGTTTTGATACTTCGGGATGCATGGATCACATGGTATTTTGAGAAGTCTATCATTTACTTGAGAGCATATATCTACGTCACTGTGCTTTCTCTAAATTTCTGACACATTGTTCATTTTCAGATCCAAAAAAGTCTGAAGAGCCATGAGTTAACAAGATCACTGGCAAGTATTGAACTAGCATGGTTTTTGGTATGTCTGCTTTTAATCATAACATACCCCCGATTTTTCTTTGTTTCTTGTGCATTTTAAACATGAACAGTTTGGTTTCTGTATCATCCTTGATCAATAAAGTTTGAAGCTTGATGTTTATGGTTTAGCTAAAAATTCTTCCTTTCAATTGTCACAGGCGACTGCTGTATTGTCCCTACCCATCTTAGTTCTCCTTAAGCTCTTTTCACTTATCTTCAGGTTAGTTGTTCGTAACATTTTCTTCAAGTTTTTCAGAAAATGGAACGCTTCTATCAGAATGCATTAGAATTCGGTTTTTCTTTTGCAGTGGAAAGGCAAAAAGGCACCATGCTAATCATTCAAGGAGAAGGGTCAAGCGACGTCATCCTGAGCAATAAAATCAGTAAAGGTGCAGTATTCCTACAAGTTTGGTTTCCCCAATATATATAGAAACAAATACAGCTGCGGGCACATTTACGGAAAGTCGATAACGGTTTCTTGGTATTGTCAAAGTCAGGTTTTTCTGGTTCGGGTTTTAATCAATCTAGACCGGAAGATCGTAACTAACTCTCTTACTCAGGTATTTCAGCCATGGAATGAGATTTTGTTTGAAGTAGAAATAAGTAGCAGTTTATCAGATTAAATGACTTGTAAGCATATAGTTGCCCACAAGTAGGTTTGGTGCCACATGATACAGATGTTCTGAATCAATATTTCATTAATATTAAAATGCATAATAGACCATGCTAATTAGATTACTTTATTGTTCTGTAAAAGAACAGATAATTATTAGCCTGGAATGATTATGCTTGATCTAGTAATGTTCTATACTCTACATGGATATAACATGAAAAAGTAACTGAAGTACGATATGAGACCATCACGTGTCTCCTTTTTTCTCTATATTCTTAATTGTAAAAATATGATAAACTTTAATTTTCGTTTTGAGATAATTTGATAAAATTTAATTATCATTTTATAATCATTCGACAAGTTCAATGAATATTTTATATATTTAAAATTTTAATAATCAGAATAATTATTTAAACATATTTTAATGATCTCTTATATACTTTATCCGATAATATGTCGTAAGCCTCCTATATAATCTCACCTTACATTTGTTTAGCGTTATTCGTAATATCACTGTCATAGATATCGAATTAACAATAATAGTATGGAACATTGGTCCCAGTCGATCAAAATTAACGTGGATGCTGTCCACATTTAGTCACTCAAAATTTTCTTTTCTTTCCCTTTTTATCATAAAACTTTATTTTTTTTTTAATTTTACTAGTCAGTTTCTAAATTTTATTATTTTAGTCACACAGTAGTCAGTTGCGCAATGGCATTAACAAAACGTTGTGTTTTAGATAAACTGCACATGCCTTAACCACTGAGCTAATTCTCACGCTTATTATTAAGATAATATATATGTTATATATATTTGTTCAAGTTTAGGCAGGAAAAAAATTAAAATAACTTAATCGAATTTGAACTCAAAATAAATTAGTAACCAAGCAAGCCTTAACTAATAAATTAAATTTAATATTTAGGAATCAATTATAATATTATATATATTATATATTACAGTTAATGATAAAAAATAAAAAGAATAAGTAAGAACTTATTTCTAGGCCAATTGAGAATATGACAACACTTAAATCACTAAAATAAATAGGATACTTTGGGTCTCCTTTTGGGGGGTTTTTGTTCGTTCATGGCTGGTGAAGATATTATGGACTGGAGGAAGCTCTTCGCGGCGGGAATTGACCAAGAATTAGATTTTTTTCCCTCCTTCGGTGGTTAAGGGTTCTTGTGTGGTAAAGCCTCCCCGCTTGGTGTTTGAAGAAGGTATCTCAGAATGGAATTATTCCTTAGTCGGCCAATTTATTGGCCAAGCCCCGAACCTCGCTTCCCTTCAGAGGGTTGTCGGTTTGATGTGGGGCAAGAGTTCGCCGGTCAAGGTGAGTGTTATTGGTTCGAACCTATACATTTTTTCATTCATTGATTCTTCTGCTAGGGACTGGGTTTTGGATAATGGTCCATGACATATTCATCATAAGCCGATTTTTCTTAGGAAGTGGGTTCCTAATCTAAAAGAATTGCACTTCGATTTACTCTGCATGCCTATCTGGATTCAACTCTATAATGTACCTTTAGAATTGTTTTCAAAGAAAGGGCTCGATTACATTGCGAGCGCAATTGGCAAGCCTCTCTATATGGATTTTATTACTGCTAATAGGGAACATCTTGAGTATGCCCGTGTATGTGTTGAGGTCTCTGTTAAGTCTCAGATCCCTAATTATATCGATGTAATCTTGTGTGATCAGTCACTGGCTAGAATCAGAGTTTTAGTGCCTTGGAGACCTAGCTCCTGTGTTGATTGCGGACGTTTTGGGCATACCGTGAAGTATTGTCCCCAAGGCAAAAGAGTGGAACAAGTTTGGAGGGTCAAAGGCCCTGTGCCTGCTCCTAAGGCGGGTGGATCTGCAAAATGTGGGGAGGTTTTTGATACTATGAATGTTGGGAGTTCACAGGTTCCCAACTCTGGGATTGAGCTAAATATTTCTACAAATTCTAATATTAGTTCCCAGACTGTTATTGTTGATAATAATTTGGCTGTTCATGATGATCCTTTGGTTAAAGTTGACAAGCAGTCTGTTCTTGCTGAAGTTCCTATTGCTGGTAACAATCTGGTTAATACTACGAGGATCACTGAGGCCTTAAATTCAGATGATCTTCCTGCTACAGTTGATAATCTGGTTGCTCTTTCTGGTAGTACCTTGGCTAATGCTGCTGGCAAAAAGGTCCATGTTATTATTGGAGTTGGTCCTGAGAACTCTGATGGGGTTGTTAATGGAAGTGATGCAATGTCTGGCCTTGAAGCTAAACAGTCTGAGGCTAATCAAGCTATTATTCCTCCAATGAAAAGAGGCAGGGGTAGGCCGACAAAGGATAGAAAATTTGTTGGAGGCGCGTCTAAGAATAAATTTGATATCCTCAACTCCATTGATCCTGACAGTTTGGTGAGTGCTCCCTCTGGTGATTCTGGTAGGAAACAAAGGGGTGCAGCTCTGGGTGTTTCAAAAATTGTTTAGGAAATTAAGTCGAAGAAGAAAGAACATGTTGATAAGGTTAAGCACATTGAGGTTAGGGGTGATACTTCTTCCTCTCCTACTTTGGTATGTTAGTTTATTTTTGGAATATTAGGGGTTTCAATAGTCCCCTTAAGCAGAGTGCAGTGCTGAAATGGGTTGTTAAATGCCAAATTAAGTTTTATGCCTTCTTGAAACTAGAGTTAAGGAGATCAACTCTGGTGAAATTTTGTCTAAGAAGTTTGTTGATTGAGGTTTCTGATGTAACTATGGTCATGCTGTGAATGGCAGAATTTGGGTTCTTTGGCAAAATCACTTAGACTGCTCCATGATTTCTATTTTCGACCAGAGTGTCATGATTAAGTGTATTTTTGGTGATAAGTGCTTCTTTACTACTGCAGTGTACGGTTCAAATGATGGCTCTGCCCGTGTGCAGCTTTGGAATCAGCTTAGCGCTATGGTTAACGTTGTGGGCAGTGATGCTTGGTTAGTTGGTGGTGATTTCAACGCTATTCTAAATGTGGAGGAAAGCTCGAATCCCATTAATTCTGCTTATTTCTCTGATATGTCTGATTTCCAGAGATGCATGGAAGTGTTGGGAATCTTTGATCATCAGTTTACTGGCCCTTTATTCACTTGGTCTAACAAATAGCAGGATTCTTACTTGGCTCGCAAGTTGGACCGTGTCCTCATCAATCCTAGCTGGGTTATGGCTTTTCCTTCCTCGGTGGTGGAGTTCCAAGCTCCTGGGGATTCAGATTACTGCCCGGCCCTTGTCTGGCTTAATAAGGATGCCCCCAGTGATAAGTCGAAACCTTTCAAGTTTTTTAATTTCTGGGCTTTGCATCCAGATTTCCTCTCTATTGTTAGTGATTCGTGGCAGCTTCCGGTTCTTGGAAATCCAGCTCAGTCTCTTTTTTTGTAGCTCAAGCGTTTAAAATGCCGTCTCAAAGAACTTAATAAGTCTCACTTTCATGATATTTTGGGACAGGTTCAGGCGAAGAGAGATGAGCTTAAAAGCATTCAGCTCTCCAATCTATGTTCCGATTCTGTTGGCAATTTTGTTATAGATGAATTGGCAGTTGAAAGAGATCTTCGAGCCCTTGAGAAAGCAGAGTTGCTTTTCTACAAACAAAAGGCTAAAGTGGACTGGATTAAGGATGGTGATCAAGGTACTCGTTTTTTCCACTCCATGGTGGCCAGCAGAAGGATGAGCAACACTATCCGAGTCCTTTATGACCAAGATGGGGTTAAATTGGATTCTTTCGATCTCATGTCGAATGAGGTCATTCGTTTCTTTAAGAAGCAACTCGAGATGGTTGACCCGAATGTCAAGTGTTGTAATGCTAATGTTATCAAGGACCTTCTTGACTTCTCTCTTCCAAGAGTTACTGTGGATGCTTTAATCAAAGACGTTTCTGATGTAGAGATTAAAGATGCTATTTGGGGGCAAGGTAATAACAAGTCCCCTGGGCCGGATGGCTTTAATGCTTACTTCTTCAAGTGTGTTTGGCCTATTATTGGGAGTGATTTCATGGCAGCTATCAGGTATTGTTTCGAAAATTCTTTTATGTTACCGTATTTCAACGCTACTGCTGTAGTCTTGGTCCCTAAAACCTCCAACCCAAACATGGTTAATGATTTTAGGCCCATTTCTTGTTGCTCGGTCATTTACAAAACTGCCACTAGGATTTTGGTGAATCGGCTGTCTGTCATCTTCCCTAGCATGATCTCTATAAATCAGTCCACTTTTGTGAAGGGGAGAAGCATTGTAGATAACACGCTTCTTGCTCAGGAACTTGTTAGAGGTTATTCTAGGAAGAATATTTCGCCTAGATGTGCTCTTAAAATAGATTTGCAAAAGGCTTTCGATTCTTTAGATTGGGAATTTGTGAGAATCATATTGCATGCTTTGGGTTTACCTGAAAAATTTGTTGGCTGAATATGGACATTTATTACAGGGCCTAGCTATTCTATTGTCCTTAATGGTAGCATAGTTGGCTACTTTAAGGGTGCTCGGGGTGTTAGGCAGGGGGACCCTCTTTCCCCTTATATCTTTGTTATGGCTATGAATGTTTTATCTAGGCTTTTAAACCTAGCTACTGTTAAAGGGGTGTTTAAGTATCACCCTAAGTGCAAAAAAATCAGGCTCACTCACCTTTGCTTTGCAGACGACTTGCTCGTCTTTTGTAAAGGCTCCATGGACTCTGTAGTTGGGGTACAAGCTGTTTTGGACATTTTTTATTCGATGTCGGGTCTTAAGTTGAATGCCAGCAAATGTGAAATTTATCCTGTTAGAATTTCTGCTCAGCAGTGTGCTGCTATTAAGGACATTATCGGTTTTACATTGGGTACTCTCCCAGTGAGATACTTGGGTGTTCCGTTGGTATCTAGGAAGTTATCTGTGAAGGACTGCCACAGCCTCATTGACAAAATCAAAGCTAAATTGAATCTATGGGCCAATAAGCACCTCAGTTTCGCTGGTAAACTACAGGTGATTTGGGCTGTTTTATTTAGTATGGCAAATTTTTGGTGTAGGCAGCTTATCTTGCCTAAGGAGATTA